ATGGAAAAGACCGCTGAACTTGATGCATACAAACAAACTGATGGATATACAACACATCCCAAGCATTGAAATGTTCCTAGATCGAAAATTCGTAGCATTATCAAGAAGTACAACGAGACTCACATGTTGAGAATAAATTAAAGACTGGCAGAATATGTTTTTTTTTTTTGAGAGAATGGAACGGAAAATTGTTAGAGATGTCTCGAAGAATCCTCAATAAATGATAGAGGACACTTTTAATGATGTAAAGACAACAGGGTTGAAAGTATTGTCACTAGATGCTTTCATCGAGCGGGCCTTCGTGCTTGTCGTCCAAGTAAATCTCCCTTACTTAAGGTCAAACACCTAAAATGCAGATTAGCTTATGCTAGAAGCCATTTAGAACATGGGAGTTAATATTGGAACTGTTTTATGGTCAGATGAAAGTAAAATTATATGATCACATGAATTCACGTTATGTGAATGAAGCTCACAAACCCCAAAATATCATCCCTACAATTAAGCACGGTGGTGGGAGAATTCTGCTCTGGGGACGTTCTGCTGCTTCTGGACTAGGAGAACTAGTAAGGCTATGATAGGTAAAGAAATTTGATTCTTACACTGCACAAAGTCATGAACTGAAAATTTATGGGCATAATTAAAGAAAAAGTAAGAGAAAGAGATCCTTCGTATTTGGATGAACTAAAAACTACTGCCAAGGAAGAATGGAGCAAAATATCTATCATTGTGTGTAGCGATCTTGAAGGGAACCATAAAAAATTATTAAAGTCAATAATCAAAATCAAGTTTGCACAATTGCAATAATTTTTTCCTATGTTTTTTGGCGTTTTTGAGGGCGGGGGGGTTATATTATTGTTTGACACTGAAATGAAAATTTTGTTGTGGGCAACGCTGAAATTTTTTTTCAAATCCATTATTTTATCATTTGTGAAAAAATGTATATGACGTTAAGGATATTTCGCAAAACATTTGGCTGTAATTAAATCTAATTCCCAGCGTCTTTCGTTCGTGCGCATGTTTAGTCGCACCAGCATAAACAAACTGATTTTAGCTAAAGAAGCATCAAAGGTTTTGAAATTGTTATGTTTTATCAGAGTAACCTAAGTATTTTCTTCATATTCCATGAATCAAAATCAGTTTAATTGAAATCTAGGATGCAAATTAAGGAATTTGGAATATTATCCAAATTCAGATTTTCTATTATTGAGTCTCATTATTCATTATGTTTTCATTAAGTAATCTGTTATGATAATTAATGAATATTAAAAAAAATTAAATTCAGTTTTTCATTGAAAGTTAGATTTCCCCTGATTTCTGATCTATAAGAAAAAAAAATATATTTTTTTTTATTAGCTATAGTCATTAATCAACTAATTATTGACTATCATTAAAAAGCTCCTTGCTAAATCTTTCTGAATAATTTGTACGTCCGTAGTAATTTAGGAATAAACTTTTCAACTCAGAAATACGATCTTCGTTATTTCTAAGATTTTTTTTGGAAATATACACAAATCAATATTTTTTCTTAGAGGTTAAAAACTAGACTTTCTTGGATTTTTTAAAAGTTAAAACAAATAAATCAGTCCAACAACAAGACCCAATCTGATCTTTGTAAATATGAAGATGGGAATTTGTCAGCTCGTGAATGTTGCCATTCAAACAAACCGTGGATGAAGGCTGAATATATATCAAGATATTGCTTAAGAAATGAACATTCCTGAAGATTTCAAAAAGATCAGGAGAAATGAAAATACTTAACAAGAATCGAAACAAAAGCATTACTACAATCAGCAGGAATACCGATAAAAGAGCGATTTTCAGGCAATAATAATAACGCTACTATAATTGATAATAATAGTATTAAATGTCAGTTTTAATTGCCGCATTATACTAGTAATAGAGCTACTGCTCGCTTTTCTCGCGTTTTTCAATAACGTTAATAGTAATATTAATAAGCCTATGGCTAATTAGGCTCGCATGTAATCAAAGAAACTCCTTTGTAAATTATTCTCAGTTGAATTTCAACTTAAAAATAATATGATAAATTATAAAAGAAACTTACCAAGAAAATAAAAGTAATCATATTTGGTAGAATAAAAGCTAGAATTAAAAAATGAAATCAAATTGTTGTCAGGTTTTCATTTAAATGAGTTGCACTTGAATATAGTGATTTGGCAGAAACTGTTTTCATTTGATCCTGATATAGCTGTGGGGGTGAAGTGACTTGGCAATGAACCAATAGAAATAGGGGCCAAGAAGTAAACCCAATATTGTTTGCATCAACAATGAAACAATATGAAAGAAACGTCTAATATAGAGGAATAGATGCCGCCGATGATTTCCTGATAAAGTTAGACAAATTTTGGTGAGTGTAAAAAATAAATATGAGAAAGAATTTTGAATCGATTCAATTATGGAACTAAAAATATTTGTCAGTTCAGGTGTCTTAGTGGAGGTGAGTGACTGAGTTGCGTAGGTGGTTACCTCTATATAAAGGGGATGCAGTTTCGAACCATGTCGGATGGCACATTTCATTTACTAAAGACTCTCAAATTCCCAAGCCGGTAGATGTCAAATTATATATATATATATATATATATATATATAATAGGTCAAGAAAATACTTAAAAATCTCGGTCCCTCTCTCTCTCTTTCTTTCTCCTTTAACTTAAAAAAAAATATATTGATTTTTTTTCTTTCTTCCTTTTTTCTTTTTATTATAAAACCTTTTCTTTTTATTTTTTTCCCTTTTCCTTTTTTCTAGCTGTCTGTCTGGATTGATTCCATTTCTAAAAATCTTTCGGACTGAAGAGATGAATTAAAGAGATAGATTTTTGAAGGACTTTCTTAACTTATTTTTAGTACATTGAGCACACTTTGGATTAATATCCTCCTTGATTTGTCCCTACCAATTAACAATTGGTATATATATATATATATATATATATATATATATATATATATATATATATATATATTCGACTCTCCCGTCGAATTCGACGTATGAGGGTCAAGCAGATCAGTTCCCAGGAAACCGACAGCCCGACAACAGCACATGAGATTTGATTATAGTGGTGAAAGTTTCGTGCAGAACCATCCACACTTTTTGAAGGGCCGAATACAGAGACCTGGTGCACTACATGCCACAAGGTTTCCAAACAACCCTCCGCAGGTTTTGAATTCAGAGTTGTCCTTCTCCTAGACCAGTTGCCATCCAAGGCTATAGAACCCGATCTATTTTGCTATTTACCCATAGCTGGAGGGAGAAGACGAGGATTCATACCTTTCCCAAGGGTATTAGCACGTAAGTGAATGTAATGGATTCGACTGGAATATATATATTAAGACATGTTTCGTTGTATAGTTTAGACATATTCTGTCTACTTATTTTCGATAAGATCCTTTCATACTCGTGGATAAGTTTTTGGTGTCATTATTCAATAATGAAGGACAAGAGAAAATCGCCGTATTGATACATACTTATTTTATTTCCAAGTACTTTCGACGTATCAATATCATCATCAGTGTATTGTTTATTACAAAATAAATATTGTAGTATTCATTACTGTCAAAGGCAACTTATTGTGTTATCTGAAAGTTAAATTATATATAGAGAAAATTTATAATGTAAGTTTCAGATTGTAAAATTTATTCTTATAAACTTTTAATGACATGTTTTGTTCATGCAATCTTTTATTGTGCAAAGTCAAATAGCCTTTTTATTTACAAATACATACAAACTATAGAAAACAAAAAACATACATTTGGTCAATACAATATGCTATAGGTATGAATTTATTGTTTTACGTGTTAATTTTGTCTCCTTGACATTCTGTAACTTTCACCAAACTTTCCCTAATGATTTCTATAAATCTTTCCAAAGTTTCGACTTCGACTTTTCTGACAGTCTTTATTACTTCCCATAGTACCTTTCTGCTTAAACACTGTTTTCCATTCTCATATTTTTAAATGTTAGACAATACATTTTCTATTGGACTAATATCTGGAGAGACCGAAAGACTATTTGTCTCCGAAAATATTTATCAAGGTAAGTAATCAGCTTTACAGAATGTCTTGCGTTAATATACATGTTAATTTGAAGAGTTTTAGTAGTGACCAAAAGAACTATTGCCTAAGAGTATACAAGAATTTTCTGCATTTGCCTAGCCACCATTATGTCGTCTTCTACCTTATGTCTTCTAAGTCGTTTTAATATAGCAGACTTTCACCAGAACCTTCAACCTTCATGATAGATGGATGTTCTGCCAAGGAGGCTCTTTGTCTATTTGTGACTCAATTTCGCCTTATATATCCGTTCTATTGCTAAAGTTACTGGAAAAAATAGTCCGTTCATTGTAAGGCTCTTGTAAGTATCTGACTCCCCCTATCTTTACAAGAGACAGACCAAATCAAAAATGGAGTATCGCTGCTATATCCTGACTGGAGCTGCTCTATCGCTACTTCCATAGCATGTGTTCTGACGAGTCACATTCCTTTGTCACACCTCTTTTGACCTTTACAACAGTGACCCACCTTGAATGTGAATCATCCCTATTCTGTATTCCGTAAGAATTAAGTTATTCTGATTTCCCGGGAATGTTTGAACATAAATTGGCCAGTGTCTTCTGAGCATCATTATTATTATTATTATTATTATTATTATTGTAGGTTGCTGTGTTGTCTTTATGTATGTACCTTGCTTCTTTAGTGTTTTTTTGGGTGGGGGTTGCTTTGTTTGTTTTCAAGTACCATGTCATCTTTTGGTATCCGATAAATAGTTTTTCGTTTATAATGGTTTATGAAAGTTGAATGTGCTTAGTAATAAATCTATTCTTAAAATTTGTTATTCAGTTTTTATTATTCGTTTGTCATTTGTTGATTTATTTTCTTTCCTTTTTGATTCTTCTTATGTCTTTACTTCTTTTTTTTTTCATTTAGTTTATTTTGCCTTCTTAAAATAAGAACGCCAATGAAATACATAATTCTCCTCCCTCGATATTATGTTTCTTCTTTTTTTTTCCCGTTCTATCATGCAATTTCTCTCTTTCATTCTCTCATTTTCTCTTTCTCCTTTACATTTCTCCTATATTTGTTTCATTTTCCTCTTTACTCTTCTATATCGTCTTTATTTTCCCTTTTCATTGTTTCTTCTATTTTCACTCCCTACTCTTCCCTGCATGAATGACTACAGTGATTCTTTTTGGCCTAACCCAGTTCCAAAAATAAGGAAATAATTCAAATTCAATATACTTTTTTCGAACTGATATTTGATCCGACCAGAAATTTTTAACACCCCTAATTTTATACACTTAATATTTCTGCCAATTTTCCTGTTTATATGATTTCAGTTTTCATTATGAATTAATGACAGATACAAACCAAACACCTTAATACATATCCCTGTTAAAGCCGCTCCAATACAAAAAGTGAGCGTTACTATTTTCGTCACTATTTTCGTCACTATAATCCGGTAACTAGTTAGGTATCTGCTTTTGATCGACGGCTTTACTGTTTAATCATGCTGATCTTTTGTTGGCGGAGTTAATGCGACCCTCACTGAATACTAGGAAATAGTGAAATGAGGAATTTTTATCCAGTGAAAGAATTAACTTAAACCGAGTGAATTCCAACAGTAGGCCTATGTCGTGGTTTGCCTAGTTCTGATATTCGGTTTGTTGTCCGGTAAGAAAGCCAAATATTAATTTTCTTATCGATAACATGTAGTCTTATTTTATACTTACATATTTCGGCCTTTTTCACGTGCCTGCTGTACTTGTTAAGCGTCCAGATTGTTCGGCTTGTACTCTCTGTTCAAAGATGGCTATCTTGAATCAGTTAATTATTCCTACCTTATTCGTGCCTCTGACGCTGTTGTCTCATCCATTAAATCAACATATATGATATTTTCGCTAATCATTTTCAGAAGAGCAGAAAATGCCTTTTTTTATTTGTTAAACGAGTGATGTCATATGCGTTTCCTCTTTAGTATTGTCAACGTCCTTTTTGTGTTTGCCGATTCATCTGCTCAGTAATATTTCCTGTTAACCTTTATCACAAACTTACCTCCAGATGTATCATCGACTTTTACTAAAATATTTAGAAACACTGATTATTGACACACGCCTTGAATTCCTACAAGTAACCTTTTCAAACGTCAGACGTTTTTTTTTTACTAATGTTAACTTGAAGACAAAACAAACATATCTGCATGAAAAGCCTTAAAAACAGGGCGTTTGTCTTAATTGTCATTCTTGCTTCTGTTTGCTTTTCAATAAGGACATGTTTGTTTGAGAGAACTTTTGCATTTTTAAAATTCCCTCTATTTTGTAATTTAAATAATTTCTCCAAAAACGTGATAAATAAATCATGAAAATTGCTATTAATTTTTGACGGGTATTACTTTCATCCTATTTCTTTTCATCCCAGTTTCTAGATCGTTATTCTACAGCCGTTCATAAGCAATAAAAGCAAATACCGACCGAGATAACAACTCTATTCCTTTTTTTCACGGGAAGATTCTCTGTCAGAAGCAGCTGTCTTGCCGATTATGTAACTAAGTTCAACTAATTGCAAAAACTACAATGAAAGAAATACTAGTAAAAGAAACAGTTCATCACTTAACGAATTCAAATATCATTGAAAATACATAAACTCAGAATTTGTTTTATACAAAAAAAGACAGATATCACTTAAAACTTCACAAGAAAATTAAAGAGCCTCGACCAAATGTGTGAGATGAAAATATTTTATCAGAAGAATCATCAAGACATACTCTTAACTTCTACCAGTCTGTGGTATTTTTTTCTTGAACGCTTTCGTCCATGTATCAACGTCAGTGTTTTATACATATTAAAAGTTAACGAAATTAAATCAATGCAATAAAAAAGCTTTCAAATTCGTCTTATTCTAATCTATGTATCTGTGTGTGAAGGTTGACAGGGTTTGTTTTTTTTTTAATAAAAAGAAAGAACAGTAAGTTATGTAATCCGGTGTTCTTATTGATATTTTTATTTTTTACAAAATAGTGCTCAATGTAAATTCACAGCTCTGCCATTATCAAAATTTTGCCTTAAATAATATTTAAGAATAAAATTTAAAAAAATACGACCCGGTAATAAACATACTTATATTTTACATTAAAAATTGATTTTACATAATGTAAGTAATTCTATTACATATACTTGTTTTAAAAAGAAATATACTCTATTAAAGTTAACAGTGAGAATATTTAAAAATTGTAGTAAAATAAAACGAATACTAACCTAAACATCCTCTAAAATTAAATAAAAACCATATGAAAAAAAAACATATTTTAAATCAATAAATTTATAATATATATATATATATATATATATATATATATATATATATATATATATATATATATATTGATGCATGTTTCATTAAATAATACAGACAAATGTTGTCTATTTATTTTATGTAAGTTCTTTTCATATCGTCTGATAAGCTTAATAACATTATCATTAAACGAAGAAAGAAATACATATTTTTTAATCCTATCTAAGCTTTCGGCTTACATAAGCTATTATCAAAGATTACAATTACATTACAATTCCATTACATTACATTATATTACATTACAATATATTAAGCAATACACGGACAACACAGTGATGATATTCTGTTTCTGTTTACATGGAAGATTTCCAAGCAACGACAAACTCGTGCATATAAGACGCTGGAAGCGAAAATCGCACCGCATCTCACCGCATCGCACATCTGTATTTTAGACTGCTATATCTGCTGGCTTCATTTTCATACCTGCATTGTAAACACCGATATTAATTCTATAGCCAGATATTTATAATATATATAAATATTTTCTGGAAATAGTCTCGGATTGAAAAATTCAGGTGCGCTATATTTATGGAATAAATGCTCAATATCAGAGATAGAACATATGTAAATATGAAAGTGAACACTGAAGTCAACACTCAGAGGCGACAGGCTGTTTCATGCTAGACGCAATCGTAGCTCGAGGCAAGTGAGTACATCGATGGGTGATGTCTTGCCAGTACCAGGTGTTATAAGCTTAGATGGGCGGCTGGTGCAATGCATAATGACTTGGAATTTTTAATTGCAGAGCCGAGTTCTAATTCCCGTTGGGTTCGTTATATTCACTTACGCGCAAACACCCTTGGTAAAAGGCATGAATCTGCCTCTTTTACCCACTCACAACTATGCGTTAATTATTATGTCTTGTAACACTAAACTATTGTTATCCAAAAAATAAAAATCTTACAATCTAAAAATATTTTCTGGCTTTAAATAACAATATATATATATATATATATATATATATATATATATATATATATATATATATATATTATTTATAGTGTAAAAATGCTGATTGAAATAATGTCGATCCGTTGAAGATGTGAAATTCTTCAGGCAAAAGTATTATAAAAATCGGCAAGAAATAAGCTGAAGGAGACTTGATTACTATGATGACTATCGAAAATGGTCATGTAAATAAAAGAAAATAAATTGCTATTACGAGATCATCAACAACAACAACAAAAACAACAATAATAATAATAATTTGTAGTATTAATTTGCAGTTATTCTGATTGTCGTTGGTTTTGTTTGAACAGCTTAAAAGAACCAATCGAAAAGACTGGAAAGAATGAAACTAAGAGAAATAATGAATAACATCCAGACAGCAGAATACTGAAAACAACTAGAAGAATGCAAACGTATTAAGAAAACCTGCAGTCGATGTTATTAAATCTTACCTTACTTGTCTAAGGAAAGCATAAAACCAATAGATAGTGATACAGTTAGTTGATAGGACAATATATTTTTTTGATACATTGGGTGTGTCTGAATGAGCCTTTTTCGTTTCACAGCTACAATTGAAAAGGACTTATCTAAACTCAACATGAAATTTGTTACGACTACATTTAATTAATAAGCTAAAACTTGAAGGAAGAATTTGCTCTACTGCCTGTAATAATTGTCATAAACAATACAAAAGATCAAGTAATCTAAATAAAAATTTATATGAACACAAAAGAGTTATTTTGCAAGCCAATATATTAAATAGATTTTCTTGCACACCATAACGAGATTGACCACAATTTTGACATGAAAAATGCTACTCTAATCAAAGGAAAAAACAACACGCTCATACGAAAATGTTTAAAGATTGCCTTGATCGCAAGGACATCCATAGTAAATTTTCTCTCTAGCTCTTACATTTCCTAGCAGAATGGTTATGATTACAATGTGGGATATCTAATAACAAAAGGGATAGAAAGAAAAAGAAAAAGAACCTAAATTAAATCAGCAAAATTATATACAAATAAAAAAAGTTAAATTTAAAATTCTCAGTGTCCCTTGTTTGTGCACATGATATCATTATATCTTATATGTGTGTGTGTGTGTGTGTGTGTGCGTGTGTGTGCGCGCGGTGTGTGCGTGTGTGTGTATGGAAGGCATATTTAAGCAGCAAGAATTCGTTCAAACAAGTTTGATTAAAAACATTTCTTATTGTACTTTTCCAATTTTCGGATTTGGTGTTGAGTATTGCGCTCGAAGTTGGAGATGAGCTGTCTAAAGTCCCTATTTTCTTATTTTTGTACACATATTTTTGACTTTCACAGTCATTATCAAGAACCTATATTGTGTCTGTATGGTAGGTAGAATTCCTTTCTCTAAATCCTGGTATTCTTTGGGAAGCTGAACGTTTGAAATTGTCTAGCGCTACAAGAGATGAATCCTGCTCCTCACCAAAGTGTCGAGACAAGCTTACTGGGAACTAAAAAGCTATAAAGACATCTTTATTAAGAAAAATGACAAACCCAACATTTTCGTAATTCTAAACAGGACTGACTACAATAATCAAAATCTTGACCTAAATTCACTGCGGCGAAAATGAATTTAAAAAACTAAGCAAAAATTCATCAGCCTCCTCAAGACACTGGTCAACAGACTAATCACGATTAACAACACAGAGATCGAATCTCTCAAACTACACAAAAATTGTGGGTGAGTATTATCCAGGCTACTTATATAGGAACCTAAAAACACACAAATCTGACTCCCCGCTGCGTCCCATAGTCTCAGATATCCCAATTTCTGTACAACAACTAGCAAAAGCCCTAAACCAACTAATACTTCCATATTTACCAAGTAAATATAGCATTCAGTCCACTAGTGAATTACTCGACATACTATATGTAAAAAAAACAAAACAAATGATGGCATCTTAGCTTCTCTAGAAGTAGAAAGTTTAATTATTGCTCCAGTAATAGAAACTATAGACCTTTTCATACAGAACATATACAATCACCTATTGTTCCCATCTTTTAAAATTAGACCAAATATTCTACGAAAACTTTCTCCATCCTGCACGACACAATTACCATTTTACGACCACTTTGGCAACATTTATAGAGAAACTGTCGGCGTAACGATGGGTTTGATACTTGGACCAACTCTATCTAATTTCTACATGTACTACATTCCTCAATAATTCCACCAAGTCCCCCACTACCATATACGCACGTATAATCGACGACATATTCATATTAACAAACAATTAGAAGGAATTAAAAAACTGAAAGAAACCTTTCAAAACTTCTCTTTGCTATACTTTACTTACGAACTCAACATTAACAATAAAATCCTGTTCATTGAAGTATTAGTCAATGCCAATAGCCATGATTTTACCACCTCTCTTTACAAAACAAACCAGGAGTAGAAACTCGTGTTTACTCAACCACAAAATTATATGTCCTCAGAGATACAAAATAGCTATTATAAAAAAAACATGATTTACCGAGCCAAAGTAATCTCTCCCTTCAGACATATTATTTTATAAGGAATTTAGCAAAATTGAGCAAACCTTAGTCAACCATAATTTCCCATAATTTGTCAACAAACAAATAAAAATTAGCCTTAAGGAAATTTAGAAAAAAATGTCGCTAGACTCCTCCCAGACCCAAACAAAAATAAATGCTCTATTAATTTATTCTATCGTAATCATGTACACCCTAATTACAAGCAGGATGAAAAAGCAATTAAAACGTAATTCCACTGTTACATATCATTCAATGATCCCAACAATCACCTGAGATTTATCATCTACTACAAAAATTTTAAAATATCCAGCTTAATTATTAAACAACAAAGCTTATTATCAACAACAAAGGGTAACATAAATAGCCCGCTATGTAAAAATAATGTGGTCTATCAATTTTCATGTCCCCTGAGAGATTGCATCTCTAACAGTAATAATAAAAAAGCAACATTAAATGCATACATTGGGCATACATGCACCTCTCTGGAAGAGTGACCTGCTACCTGTCGAAACTCAATACAATCCGTACACACATCGATCAGCACATCATGAACGACCAAAGAACAACTATCAACATAGGACAAATATTAATAGATAACACCAAAATACTCTACAGCACCCAATGCAAGCAAAGACTCAAAACTCTAGAAGCTATTATTATACAAAATAAACAGCTCACATTAAATAAAATATCATTCACTACAGAAGAAGGTATATTGAAGTGCATATCATGTAATTAATGTGCGCAATATTATCACGATTATAATCAAATAAAAATTAAATTTAAATAAATAATCGTAGTCCTTTTCTGCAGCCTCGTTCCCAATAGCCGTTACACATTATATATTATTTCGTCTGGCAAAAAAAAAAAAAAGTGCAAGTAATAAGAATAAGAATAAGAATAAGATTCACTACATAAAAACGATATTGTGGCTTTGCTTATTCATCTGTCTACGACCTCTTGTATATATATATATATATATATATATATATATATATATATATATATATATATATATATATATATACACGTTTCATTAAATAATATAGACAAGTGTTGTCTATTTATTTTATGTAAAAATTTTTCGTATCTTCTGATAAGTTTGATAACATTATCATTAAACGAAGAAAGAAATTCACAATATTTATCCATTATTTTTAATATAATCTAAGCTTTTCGGCTTACTTAAGCCATTATCAAAGATATAAATCACAAAACATATTAAACAATATACGGACACGACAGTGATGATAGTCTGTCATTGTTTACATAGTGTATCACTAAGCAACGATGAACACGCGCATATAAGACGCTAGAAGCGAAAATCGCACCGCATCTCATGACGTCACACATGACTACACGAGAGTGAATTGGAGAATGAAATAAGGAAAGCCGTTGGTATAAACCAATGGCTTCTGTTACCAATTATAGAAATTATAGACATTTAAGAATATTTGTAGACATGCCATAATTGATTTTGTTTAGGTTGGGTTTTAACTGTTTGATGTATAATGCTTCAAGTATTTTTAGTTATATTAAAAAATAATGGATAAATATTGTGAATTTCTTTCTTCGTTTAATGATAATGTTATCAAACTTATCAGAAGATACGAAAAAATTTTACATAAAATAAATAGACAACACTTGTCTATATTATTTAATGAAACGTGTATAAATGAAAATATGCTGCCTAAATATATATATATATATATATATATATATATATGTGTGTGTGTGTGTGTGTGTGTGTGTGTGCGTGTGTGTGCGTTTGTGTATGCACACACACACCTATATATGCATGTATGTATAGTGTATGCACACACGCGCGCACACATATATATGTATGTATGTATAGTGAGCGCTAGTCTAAAAAATTAAAAATAAATTTAGCGTTGCAACAATCTTCTTTATCGATAGGGACTTCTCTTCCAAAAACCTTTTTCTAATTGTTATAATTAAATTTCAGTCATTTGCACCCACTGAAAATATAAATATTATTTCTTTGCAATAACATATCTCAGTGTTTAAGTTTTCAGTGGATACAAATAGCTGAAATTTAATTATTGCCATTAGGAAAAGGTTTTTGGAAGAGAACCCCCTACCGTAATGTCTCGATAAGCCATAAAGAATCTATTCGCGGGGGCCCGAAATTAATTGAACACAAATCTGCATATTGCATTACACTCTACTGTTTCTTGCACCAATGTGATAGAAAAAAAATCAGAAACAATAAAAAGCAAAATCAACATTTTGTTGCAAGAACCTTCCATTTTGTCGCAAGAACCTTCCAGTTCTATTCATTTTGACATCAAATTAAATCCATTCAGGATGGAAAAAATATGTTGCTTTTCATTTTCTATCAAATGAAATTATTTTCCATTTATTTCTCTACCAACGCGACTTTCTGCTCGAATTCGTCATCATCAGAGTCTTCGTCGTCATTATCGGTATCATTCTTTCTTTCTTTCTTTCTTTCTTTCTTTCTTTCTTTCGTACTCTCTTAAATTCTTCTATTTTCTTTAAATCTTGTCTTTGATATTATTATGCATTTATTCCTTTCTGTTTCATTCTTACGCCATTCATTATTTTGCTTCAATATGTATATACTTTCTTATTACTGCATATTTTTCATTCCATTACTATTTTTCTGAAATTAATTCTTTCTCTTTCTTGATTCCTCAAATTCTTTTACTTTCTTTGATTGATTTTTCTACCCTTTATTTGTTATTCTTTCTTTGTTGTCATATTTCATTTTGTAAGCATTTTCTTCCCATCTCTGCTTCGCCTACTTTCTATTTGTTCATTTTTTTTCTTTTTATTCACTTTTCTTTTCCTTCTTCATTTCCATTTTGTCTTTGGTTCTTTCATTTTCTTCTGATTATTCAAAATTACCTTTTTACGTCGTTCTTCCTCTCCTTTATTCGACAATGTGTCTTTCTCGACATTCTGTGTTTTTCTTCTTCCTTGCGCATACGAACAATCTAACTCTTTCCTTCTCTTATTAAAACTTGAAATCCAGCTTTATGTTGAGAATATCGTTCATTTCTCCATTTTGTCAGTCGTGAAAATTGTTCGCACATGCGCACCGAATCGTTCTCTCCATTGAAAGCCTAACGAGAAGGAAAATGACTCAATCCCAGCATGCTTTTGCAAAGTAGGTAAAAATGAAAGTAGTAACTGGATTCGGAATTTACATTGGGCATTTTGTCAGAATAAATTATCCGAAAAAAAGACTTCCACGAACTCTTTGAATATCATTCGTATTTTCTATGATCAGCGCGATTCGTCTTTCCTTTCCAAAACTTTTATCTATCTATCTATCTATCTATCTATCTATCTATCTATCTATCTATTTTATTTATATGTGTATATGTATCAATACATATATAAATAAAATGGATAAATTGGATAGATAAATAAATTGATAAATTCAAGGGAAATATGACAAAATATGTCTTACTCGATTCACAAACGACTACACACAAATGTCTATATAACACAGCGTATTTAAACACGTATACACACATTCACTTTCTTGCGTCTTTGAAATAATATATTCTAATTAAAGGTAGAACAGAAACAAAGGACCATCCATATATACCATGGATTATGGCGCAATACTTTATTTGATGGGCTTTCTGCTCTTCTCTCTCTCTCTCTCTCTCTATCTCTCTTGCTCTCACACACACACACACACACACACACATATATATATATATATATATATATATATATATATATATATATATATATATATATAAAGTTATCATATGAAACAAATAAGTTTCGCTTCGAGGTTTATTTAACTAGTGATAGGAGTTCCATCATCATTCTGTTCCACAGAATAGTGTAATTCTATCAGAATAAAGATAACTTGGTTCGATAATATAAGTGCCATAATATAATATAATTTCCCATCATTAATGGGGAGTTGTGTCCAGGTCAAAACCAGGATTTCGAATGATGTTCTTCAAGGCAGACAAGAAGTCATTCACTTTGGTAAATTGGTGAAACACTATCGTATTACCACCATTTTCCAACCGCTTGGTCCAGTATAGATCTCTCTCTCTCTCTCTCTCTCTCTCTCTCTCTCTCTCTCTCTCTCCCCTTATATATAGTTGGTTTATGTATAGAGGAAATTCAATTCGAATGGAAAAATTCCATATAGGAATTTTTCCCCAAAACTTCAAAATGGATTTACACATTTCTATCATTGAGTGAATTAAGTTGGAAGCTTGTAAAATCCCCAATGTTCTATGTGCATCTTTCATTTATTAGTATTTATATATCGATCTTTTCACATCTTTCCATCACTTTTGCGGACATAAACCGATTTATATTTTATCCGTTCGATGGGTATTGTCGGTAATCAATCAATCGATTGATCAATGATTAATGAGATTATCTACTTATCTTCGTGTCCGTGAAATTTACAATTCATTTTTTTCTACATTTCAAAATTCCCAGACTTTTTCCTCACTTGCAGAGTCACTTTTTACCTTTCTCTATTATTAATAAAACGAAATGTCTGATTTACCTTGTAAGATTTTGCCGCTACTGTGGCAATAGGCCTTTTTATCTCCCCTTCTTTTCGGCCTGTAATTTTGCTATTTCCTCTCTGATTTCTCGTCTATAATCGTTTTCGCTACTAAATTCCTTCCTTAGTCCTGCCAATTTCTATTACCTGCCAAAAAAACGTCAACTTTTTCTCTTCAATTTATTTTGCCACGAAATCCATATGGAAAAGAAAACTTCGCTTTTCAATTCTTTGATTACCTGACGATATTCTCTGGAAATGTATCCATCTATACATTTTCGAATTAACCAGAACTTCCGAATTTCAAACTTTCATTCGATTTTAGGTTAAATGGACAATTATAGATATACATCTATGTAGACACATGATATATATATATATATATATATATATATATATATATATATATATATATATATGACCAAGTGTGAAAAAATTCCCGGCCTTTCAAGAAAAATAACCAACACATAAAGAAAACATCATCGATTTCAACATATTCAACTCACAGTTCAACATACATGGAAAAACGTTGCCAACTTTCCTTAATCCCTCAAACAAAATTTCATACATTTGTCAGTGAAATACTAATTTGGGTCGGGTCAAAATTTTACTCCTTCATTATATCCGAATATGCAATATACATACACCGTATATATATATATATATATATATATATATATATATATATATATATATATATATATATATATATACACGTATCGTATGTATATATATATATATGTATATAGAGAGAGACAAGTTAGATCATTCAAAAAATTATCCCTGATATGTTTATTTTGATATATGCCACATGCGTTGGAATTCGACTAAAGGAATGAAAATTTCTCCGATTTAACCAGTAGAGAAGACAATATTTATTTATGAATAAAAATGACAATAGGAAAACTAGTAATTGCTAGTGGACTATATGAAAGCAAACTACGAAACGCGTCAGCAATTACTAGTTTTCCTATTGTCATTTTTATTCATATATATATATATATATATATATATGTACCCAAGTATATGATTGGTGTATACGGAATAAATTCCAATAACCGACAATTACTATTCTTAAATGAGCGGTCAATACCGAGTAGAGCGAATATAATTATTTATTTAAAAATTATAACATAAATATGTTATAAAATTACTACAAAAATAACCATTTTGTTTCAACACCTCTGGTGTCTTATCACGTGATGATGTTGAATGTAGATTGTAGAATAAAGGTTTTAAAAGTTTCAAATTAATTAACCCCCCCCTCGTAAGGGGAAACGCTGTCACATGAGCTGAAATGACCAATCAAAATACAATTAAATTCTCGTATACTTGTATATAAGAACCAGTAGTACAGAGAGAAAGAGAAAAAACAGTAACAGAAATTGTAATATGAGTTCTGGTAAAAAAAAATTAACTGAGATATTAGGTTTATAACTTCCAAAGATTCGCTCACGTTAGTGGCCCAGTAGATACAGGCGTTGGTTGCGTAATCCAAAAAGTGTGTTGACCCAAAGAGTTGTGAGTTAAATACCTGGCCACTACAGAGAGGACAAAACGTTGTTGCTTCAGGGAACTAACTGAAACTGAGATGTCCAAAAAAAGGCATGAACATTAGAACAATCTGCCTAAATAAAGATGTCGGTTCGAAATGTCAACGTTATATCACCTGAAGAAGGTTGGAGCGTACAGCAGCTGAAACGTCGTAAATATGGCAATAAAAATGAGGACAATATTCCGAACGATGTAAATAGTTAATTCTCTCTTTCTAATTTTAAGTGTCCCTTTTGTTTATATATTTATTAATATCGTCTTAATTTCACATGTTTTAATCGAAATCTTCAAACACCCAGTTTACCGTCATTCAGTTCTTAGTTTTAAAATATTTTTTTTGATTTTCGATGATATTTTCAAAGATGACATAAGTTTTCTGAATAATACGATATATCACGATTCCACAAATTATACGTAATGATTTACGATGTTTTAGGTTTGATATTAAATTCATTATTTTTTTACTAAAGCAGAAAGCAAAATAAGATATTGTTTAATCTGTTAAATTTATAAGCAATACATGATCGTCTTGTGATGTAAATTTATAAACGTTTGACAGATGGCGTAAGGCTAGTTTGTAATGAAGTTTTCAAAATGATAACACGAGACTTGAATCTTTCATATTTAACATATTTTATTCAATTCCTGATTTCATTAGTTTCTCTCAATCAGTAATGTTCAGAACAGGCATCCCGTGTCCTGTGTGTCGATATTACATTCACTGTCTGCAATGTGTGAGGGACTGTCTTATCTTCTCTGGAGTGGTTGGAGAGATATCTTGATTTGGAGCAAGATCAGATAGGAGTGATAGAGGAAAGGATGAGGAGAAGGATAGTGGATAGATCAAGACAACTGGAGATGTCGATTGACATTACATTTGAATAGCTGGAGATTATAGCTCTCAGGGAAACTGGAATAGCGAGAGGTGTGAGACATGAAGCTATTGGAGTAGAAGAGACGGCTACATTTAGTAGTTTCGACAGAGAAAGGGTGAGAGCGGGATGCCAGCCTCGTAGGGCGCTTGAATTCATGAAGTCTGGGAACCAGTGAATGCAGCTCCTCGGAGCAATTGCCATGAAAGTATTTGTAAAAAAGACAGAGAGGGGCGACGACGCGTCTGTGAGAAAGCGACTGTAGACGAGATGCCAGAACAGGGCCAATTATATTGAATAGCCGCCTCTGGAGCTTATCAAGAACCCCGAGGCAAACAGAAGGGGCTCCAGACCATATATAGCAGCGATACTCCATGCAAGGGCGAATTGTTGATTTGTAGATCTGAAGGATTGATTCCGGGGAGAAAAACTTCCTGGTGCGGCACAGGGAGCCAACTTTCCTTGCGGTGGACGAAGCAATGAACTCAATGTATTTGTTCCATCTCAGGTTAGCAGTCAACGTGAGACCGAGCAGCCGCAGAGATGTGCTCTCGAGAAGTTGAGCGTCAGACATTCTAATGGAAGGCAGGGGAGGATCTCTGTGGTGATTAATAGAGAGCAGTTTTGTTTTTGAGGCGTTAAAGTTAACCAGCCAATTCCTGCCCCAGTTCACAACTGATTGGAAGTCCTTTTCGAGACGCACGGCTAGGTTAGTTTTGTCAGTGACACTAGATTTGTTTTTGAGGCAGGAATAAATTGTGGTATCATCCGCGTAGATGCCAACTTGGGAATTTATGGCGTCAGGAAGGTCATTTATTTAGATAAGTAATAGAGTGGGGCCTAGGATGGAGCCTTGAGAAACACCTGTGTTCGTGGGATAGGAACTGGAGGAGAATCCGTTGAAAACGACCTTCAATTCACGGTTTGACAGGAATGATTGTATTAGGTCAAACAATCAACCCGTAATGTCATAACCCTGGAGCTTGCGAAGAAGGCCAGCATACCAAACCCTATCAAACGCTTTGGAGATGTCTAGGGCCAC